GCGGCACACGCACACCACGTGGCCACACACGCAAAAGGTAACACACGACGACGCGACGACTAATAGTCGCGCAACACACAGCGACGACGGTCGGCTTTTGGCGGCACAAGTACACCACACGGCCACTCGCGCGAAAAGCGAAAGGAGCACGACGACGCGACAACCGATAGTCGGGCAACAAAAACAGCGACGACGATTTGCACTCGCGCACAAAATACGTGGCGCGAGAATATGCCCGTCACGGCGATCCCCAAATCGAGCCGCTCACGAACAAGAAAAAAGGAATAACGTGCCCGGCGAACTGTACCGCTTGCGGGCACACCAACAACAACGAACCATTTGAAAAACCCGTTGGCCGTTACTACGACGGACGTTAAGATGTAGAGGGGAGGGAGCGCGTAGAAGCTTCGCGAAAGTTCTCGTTCATGGAACATGATATGGCGCGAAATTCAAATTGCGCGGTGTTTGAACAATACTTGACACTCCACAAAGGTATAAGTGAGTGGTATTTTTCGAAGACGAAATGATTAAATTATCGAGTATGGTGTATAACGAAGAAAATATGTTGGTGATAGAAGCAAAAAATCAACAAGGATGTAGAGTATTGCTGAATCGAGCGGACTTTATTCGCCTTCAATATCTGGAGCGTTGTATTATTGAGAGTATTGGTCGGAAAGAAATATTCACCATGCCGATAATTCTAAAACAATATGATGCGATTGTTAATTTTCTGTACGCGAAATGTTCGCTCGAAAAACAGCCATCGAAAAATGTCGATGAAATGAGAATGTTTGTTAATAAAAACACGCATAATAGTCGCGGAATCGTCGAAACTTGTCCAGACTTAACTGACCAAGTACAAATGTGTGCAGCTAAACAAATATCAAAATCTATTCTAAATCGGATGGCGCAAGACTCGCAAGAGGTAATTCATAAATATATTATTATTACATGTACAAAAATATTGATTTCATTATTTTCAGCCGCTGGATCATTGACGACTCCCAGGTACCAGACGAGATTCGTAGTCCGCAGTTGTGCGACGTGAACGATGGGCCAGATTTTTTCAATCAATTCAGGGAACCGTCTCTATTCATTACGCCACCCCCGCCTCAACCGACATTTGCCGAACACCCAGCACCAGTGCGCAATGTTAAACAACAACTATTTTAATTTTTTGTAGAACGCTAATAAGTGAAATAAAAACATGCACGATATTTAAAAAACAAGTTTTTTATTTATTAGAATAAGTTTTTACATTATAAGGGTAAAATACAAGGTCTAAAATTATAAAAGTTAAATACAAGGTTTAAAATTTTCTAACATCTCCACTGAACGGATTATAAGTAATAACTTGATCATGTAAAATGAGGCAATATGCTGCAGTCTTGGCCGGAACGTTTGCGGTTATCTCGAACTCTATGCGTAAGTCAACTGTCGTCGATTTCACATTATCATTTTGACGTGATAAATCTACAACGACTATAGGTAAAAAATCTTGAAATGCTTTCCTCGAGAGTAATGGTAAAGAGTTATCTCTATCATAGTACGACTTTTGAAAATCAGTATACGCTTTGTACAACAAAGAAGTGATTTTATCCGTAAAGTCTACACGGAAATCTTCATACGGATAAACCTCAGAATTTAAATGAACTTTAAGATTTTTCAGGCTACAGTGATCGAACAATCCTGAGGGGTTATTCAAGTTGTTTTTTTTTTTGATCTGTTTGAAATCCTATGATTGCAAACCTAGGTTTTTCAAGTAAGTTACTAGATTTGACAGTCCACGAATGAGATGTATTCTGCGGAAGAACTGGATACTCGCGTAAATCCCAACTTCTGAATGCGCACGACAGCGTCTTCCGAGAGTCCAGTACTTTTAATAATTTTAGTTTTTCTATATCACTCACTCGGACGATGGGCATTTTCCAGATAATTTTTTGAAGATCAAGCGTTACTTTCTTATTTTTTTCAATATTTTCTTTTGCCCCAACGCCTGTAACGTACAACGCGTCGAAATCTTTTGACGCTCGGTTTAAAATAAGTTGTTGATTGCAATTGAGTAATATTTTTTTATAGTCTTCACAAAAACCGAATAAATGTTTCAGTGGGATACACCCAGAAAATTTATTTTCCGTCATGAAATCCTTATTGTCTTCCTCGGTCATATTTATATCCCAAGCGCCGTTCTGAAGTTCATTCAAATCGTTAGGTGTATATGAACAGTACCCCTTCAAACACGAAGATATTCCAAGGTATTTTAATTTTTGTATTTCCACACCATTCAATTCATATCGTAATTCGGAAAATAGAAACGCTAATCCGTTGTTAGTAAATTTAATGTCACCGATACCTTGACCCACGTCTTTTGGTTTACTTACTTTTTTTTCAACGTAAATATAACTCTCACACGGTAGAGTATATGCGTCCATGTTTTGAATTAGTATTCTGATTTCATCGTTTTTCGATAGAGCCGTACTCGAATTCGGTAGAAAAGAGTGATATTGCATTTGTATAATTTTACATTCGTCTACATACCCTTCGGTTACATCTAAATATGATTCATTTATTTATTCTATTCATATATTTTAACGAACGTAGAAAAGCTTGGTTGTTTTTCGTTAGTTGTTTTATTTTTTTATCTTTACGAGTTGTTAACGGTTTACGTGTTGATTCGTATGCGGTTAGGTTTCAAAACAAAAAAAACAATCAAAATAGAACTGACAAAAGTCATGTGGAAGGTGCCTGTGGTCAAGGTCAATGACAGAGAAAAGTTAAAACTGTTGAAAATTATCGATTCAAAAAAAACGATAAACTGTGCGTTTAGAAATTGGAAACTATGCGAATATCCTAATATACCGCAGACGAGAAAACACTCGTGGATGGTGAAAACCTGTTCGTGGATAGAGAAACCTCGATGTTTGATAATTGCTTTTCTGCACAAATACTCCGGCAATATGGCCGAGGGATTCGCGTCGGACTTTGACGCGTATTCACTGACCAACGTGAAAGCGTATATAAATTCGGTAGAATACCCGTATGAGAATTACAACGAGAGCTTCGACAAAGACCAATTTACAATGTTCTATCAAGTATATGCGGATTTTCAAAAATATTAATATGAGCGGATGACCTCCCAACCGTATCTGAGTAAAGAAAAATACAAAGAACTGGGTCCGTTTATATACATCGACTGTTCGCGTCAAAACGATTACGCTAAAACGTCTACTATCGATTTGAGAATCGAATTCGAGGCTGCGAATAACTTCCCGCCCGACACTTTGGCGTACTGTTTGCTCATTCACGACCGAGTCATTCAATACAACCCGTTTACCGGTGAAGTCAGAAAAAACTAATAAATATATATATATATATATATATATATATATATATTCTATATAAAATAATAACACATGTTTGTTTTTTATATATAAATAAAACGTTTGCATTTTATTAAATATTTTTTACATTTTATTATTATTATATTTCATTCTCAACTATCGCGGTGGCGGCGGCAGGGGCGGCGTCTTATTCCCGATCCTACGTTCAAGTGTTGTTTCGTTCTTCCGCGATACCGTCGTCGTCGTCGTTGTCGTCGAGTCAACGGAAGTAATTAAAATATAGCGGTTCATCGTTCACGTCTACAGGCGGCGATTGCTATAAAAATATACTATTAAGAGGATGCTCACCTATTATTATGACTAGTAAAAACATGTTTACGGAAAACCAACGAAAATGCCTTTTTAATGTAACTTTAGGGTGAAAACATCTATTATACAATTAGTAAAGAATAATATTTCTGAGTGAACCTCATACGCGTTTTTAAAAATATTTATTGGAAAAAAAGTTACAATGATTTAAAAAAGTAAAAAAATGCTTTATTGTATTTATCATACAGAACTATTCATTCGGAATAATGAAAAACCCTTATGAGGTTTACTCTGAAATTTTATTGTTTTCAAATAAAATAATAGGTGAAATAATTTTCAAATCACTTTTAGAGGCCTTTTTGTTAGTTTTCCGTGATCATGTTTTTGTCGTTCGATTTTATTTTATATATCAGTCATGTGCTGTAATTACGTTTACGGCAACGACAGCGAAGAGGTACCCTTAGACTTAACATACCCCAAATCAAGGATCTTCACATTTTTATGCAGAGGGCCACATCAGTTTTTTTAAAAATGCATGCTATACTTAAAATGTGATCGCGGGCCGCAAAAAAATACTAAGTGGGCGCGAGTTAAAGACCCCTACTCTAAATAGTAAGCTTTAGTACCTAAAGTACCTAAAACATTTTCATTGAAAAAAATTAAAAAATCGTAGTACCTATTAATATTATATTAAACATTTCATACTGTTTTTATTTTTAATACTTAAAATGTGTATAGCAACGTTATATTCTATTTGGTTATAGATTTTACCTGTAATGTAATTTGGTTACTTCAATACACCTTTAACAATAGCAAGTATATATAATATACACCTACACAATTATAACGTAAAATATACGTAATACATTCACCAATTAGAAAACTACTATTTAAACATTTAAATAGTTTAGCTTATTGCTATAAATTTGGTATTATGTATATTGGTATTATAATGTATAGACAACAAAAAAAAATATAATATAATATATTTTATAATAGTATAAGTAAGTACTTTTAGAAACATTGGAACAGGTGATGGAAAAAGATTTACATATGAAAATAAACACAAAGAAAACGAAAGTACTCGTATGTAGTAGATACAACAGCATAAGAACAAGTATAAAATTAAAAGATGGTGAAAATATTGAACAAGTAGAAGACTTCTTGTATTTAGGCAGCACTATAAGCTCAGATGGGAGATGCAAAAAAGAAATTATAAAAAGAATATGCCAAGCTAAAGTGGCATTTAATAAGAAAAGAAATATTTTTACTTCAAAAAGCATTGACCTCAATATCAGGAAGAATCTGCTAAAAACGTACATCTGGAGCATTATGTTATATGGATGTGAAACATGGACTATTGCAAAAGAAGAAATGAGAAGAATAGAGGCATTCGAAATGTGGTGTAACAGGAGGATGCAAAAGATAAGTTGGACTGATAGAATCACTAATGAAAAAGTTTTAGAAAAGGTATCGGAGAGGAAATCAATGTGGAAGAGTATACAGAAAAGGCGAAACGAATTAATAGGTCATATTTTAAGACATGATGGGCTGCTATTACTAATCTTAGAAGGTGTAATCGACGGAAAAAACCATAGGGGAAGACCAAGATTGCAATACATAAGTCAGATAATGGAAGATCAAGGATGTAACTCATACCAAGAATTGAAGAGAAAAGCTAGTGATAGAGAAGCATGGAAATTGTTGCAAACCAATCATTAGATTGAATACTGCAGAGAGAGAAGTAAGTACTAAGTAATCAGTAGATAATTAATTAATAATATATTTATTTTAATGTAAATATTATTGTAATATAGCCTATCCGACATTTTTTTAGTGTAATTATTTGTGTACACATTATAAGAAATAGTAATCTTAATCAATTAGTTCATAAGCGGGCGCGAAAATCACACGAATATTGACTATTGTGGTAATATTATTATAATCACCAATATATTATTTTTTCATTATCCGCATTCTGAGACAGTTCATAAAACAATAAAATGCTCGCATGTTGATTATTTTTAGACCGTTTTGTTAATCGCACGATAACAACTATGACTCTGTGTGCGTACGTCACGTGATTACGCTGTGTAAAAACACCTAATAGCGCTTCCTATCGGTCGTTTCATCCGATTCGCTTTGGGTATAGCATCCTTTTAATATTATGTAATTGTGCGTGCGTGTATGTAAAAGCGATGAAATTAATTACCTCAAATAGCGGATAAGTGTCGGAGTTATCGATAATGATGTTGTTGTTCTCATTACAATCTTATTAGTACATCAATATTTTAGAGATTTTAAGATTTTAGAATTTTTTAAATGTTTTTATATTTAAGTGTTTATTATATTTATTTTTATTAATTGGTATTTACAAAAAATTTATAGAAAACGTGTTTTTTAAATAATATTTATTTGGTTTATTTAAACATATTTTTATTGCATATTTTTGCATATTTTCAATAAGCCAAATGCATATTTAATCATTTTTTTATTGCATATAAATCCTAGCCCTACTTATTACTATTAGTTTTATTTTATAATAAATTATGGGGCCTCGCAAATCGTAACGACGGCCCTGACGATGAATAATAAAAGTTTGTACCAAAAAACACGTCAACGTAAAACAATAAAAGAGGTTCAAAAAATGGTTTGTGAGTAATATTAGCTATTATTAAGTCGATTTAAAATAACATTCATGAGGGCCCCACGTAGCATTTTTCTGATAAATGTATTAAGTAAAGAGATATTTAATACACAAAAAATATTTATTTCTGTATTTTAAAACATTTGTAATTCAGTTGGAATAAAAAATAAAATTATTTAAATTTATATTATGATTTAGGGACAGTTTTACTTTAATTGATTATTTTGAGTAACAACTAATTACTAATATTATTCCGAGTCATCACAATAATTAAAAATTTCGCTTGATTATTTCGAGTAGTAACTCGATTATGTAAATACATCGATTATTATTCGGGTCATAACTTATGCCATTGATTGTATTTACTAGTACTTATGATCAATACTAATACCATAACCATTGAAGATGTCCAGCGATATTTCGTTTATAATACATTAATTTCTAATCGATTCTGAAAATAATTTGATTATTCCCCCCACTAATCCGTCGTTAGGTGTCAGCGTCGGATTTACCGATAATCATTATTGCGATGCAGTATAAAAACTTGAACGGCACAACCAGCAACACAATGCTTGATATATATTTTTTGGAGGTACTATTGGCTCTATTGTACGGTTTCCGTGAACGAGTCACAAATTTTTTTTGGGGGGGGGGGGGCATTAGAAAAAGACAATATAGTGCATAATATACCACTATAGTCAATTAAAAATGAGATGATGACTCGGCGGCAAAGTTGTGCGCATGGGCGTGGCTTTTGTTCCGTGGTAGCGCTTTACGCGCTGCCGCGGATGGGAGCTCTAATTAGTCTAGTATCGACTGCCGATGTGTGTAGATAATTTAAAATGCATTGCGCGTATACGGACACACATTCCAGGAAATTGCGCCACAGCACGATGTACGTACACACATTTACCTAACGCGGAACGCATGACGCACACACGCACATCCACGTCTGCGCGAACATTGCTTCGGTCACGTGATCGATGCTTGTAGAGGGAGTATGACCGGCGGCTGACCAAAACTGGTTGCCGCCGAGTCATCATCTCATTTTGAATAGACTATACATAATACATATGCACATTTAACACTAGTGGGGGGGTAATGCTACCCATTCCCACTCCCATTGCGAAGAGCC